ACTTTGTCTAATGCATATGTTCATATTCACAATTTGTGATGAAACTGTACGTTGATTTCATATCAATATAAACCTCATTATTAAAGTGAAGCAACAAAACATGAAACATGCTTGAATAAAAATTTAGAAAATCATACATTATTAAATTCTTTAAAATGAATCGTACAATAAACAAATTAAAATTATATTCAGTAGTTTTGATATCCGCGATTTTACTTTTTTAATTCATAAACATTGTATTTGTTTTATCATTGTGATAGAAATGTTCTTTATTTATTATTGAATTCTCTGTAGAAAAATTCGTTTTGTTTAGAGAGAAGTAATAACAAAAGTTTCGGGTCCAGTCATGGTACGATAAATATACGGAATCATAAAGTGTACAATTGTCTAATTATATGCCAAGTTGTTGGCTTTCGCACAGTACTGTTATAAAATTACACAGCGGATAAAAAAATTGTGCGATTTTTATAAAAAAAAGTTTAACACATAACGTCCCATACGTGTATGATTTCTCTACTTTATTTTTACTAAAACCTAAATATGATCAAGATAAATCAATTGCACCGGTCAGCAATGAAAATTTTTCTGGCTCAGGTATTTACATATAAAATTTATTGGAATTAATTACATATTAAGTTGTAGTAAATATTTATCATTACACAAAAATTCGATTGTTGATTTTCTGTGTTAAATATCTCTTCATCACTTTTTGTTATTCATGCCAAATATATTGTGACGATTACTATATTAAACAACAAATTATTATTGGATAATCTGATATTATAAAATTATTGTCAATTATATGCAAATTATTTTAAGGTATTATTGAAACATACCTCTCAAAATAATTTTGGTTGCATGGATTCTGAATTTTATTTAACATATATTAATTTTAGTTCTCCTAAGCAATTGATATTAAAAATGAGTTTACTGTTTTTAGAGATAGTTTGGAGACTGTTTATAGACTTTTATCACTGATAGTGGTAAAAATATTATTAACTTCCCGTAGGGTAAGTTATAGTAATCGCAAAATAATCGAAAATGAAAATTTTTATATATCTTTACGTTTCAGAGGTTTCTGAATATTTTGGCATACCTTAGAAAAAATGGATGTATGTGTGTGTGTGTGCGTGTGTGTGTATGTGTGTGTGTGTGCGTGTATGAATGTGTGAGCGGATACAAATTTTCGTCGACGATTTCGGGAACACGGATCGACCGATTTGAATAATTCAAAAAACATTCGATTTGTATTGATAAGAAGACGTGCTGATTAGTTTTTGGCGGAGGTAGGTCTAGCCGTTCCGAAGATATGGGGCAAAAAGTGCCAAAAACGGTACCTCAGTTTTTAAGAGAACGGAGCTTCTGATTTGAATTATTTAAAAAACATTTTACTTGTATTAACAAGATGAAAAACTAATCAAATTTTCGTGAAGGCAGGTCTAGCGGTTTCGGAGATCCAGTAAAAATAAGTAAAAAAATGCCATTTAGCGGTCATAAATGATCATTAGACATATGCACATCAAATTATCAGATATTTTATAGAGATTTTAACAATAAGTATAAATTTTGTTTACATTCCTATCGGTTCCGTACCAATGTTTATCCGTTAGACGCCGACGCGGCGCTTACGCGCTTCGATATTTCGTCTCTATGCAGTTTAAGCAGTACGATTGCTTTGAAAAAAAGTTCAGAATTTTCAAGATATTTCAAAATAAATTTTTTGTCATAAAGTCTTTTTTCTTAAAAAAAAAAAATTGACTAAAAATTTTTTGTCAAAAATTTATAGTTTCTCAAAAATCTAATTTTTTCAGAGTAATTTTGTTTTCAAAAATGTTTTAAAAAAAAAAAATTTTTGGTACGGGAAGTTCCAGCAATTTGCCTTAAGGCACGATGCCATGCGCCCCACTAGTTTTTTATAATATTGTATGCTATAATTGTAACATATTATTTAAAATAATTCAAGACAGCATTCCAAAGACACTAATAATATAATAGATTCTAAAAAAAAATAATTTAATATGCCCGAGGCAAGGATTAAGAACAAATCGTGTTGTGCAGACTTCAAAAACCACAAAAAACTAAATATTGAAGAGTCCGAAACTAAACTTTTTTAATTTATCACATAGTACATTTGACAATATTGTCAAAATATTATACATATTAGAATTTGTTAGCATTACTAGTGTGTTTGAGACTACATGTAAGTGCATGTGCGGGTGTATGTATGTACGTATGTATGTATAGGTGCCCGTATGTGTATTTGTATAAATAACATAGTTTAACATTATTATGTTACATTACTATATTATTAACTGTATATAGCCTATTGGCGTATAATAAATAAATAAATAAATAAATAATGCAGGCGACACAATTCACCTGCTGGGCTATTACCCGTCGTCGCAGCACGAGCCGCCAAGTCACCATTATCCATCAAATCACCATATTTACAATGACAATGATAATGCCTACGATAGCCACCATTACCATCACCAGCAATATCCCGACAATAACCAGGTGTATCCGAACGACCTGCCCCCGTTGCCCAGCTACCACAGGCCGCCGCCCTCGACCTCGCTTTCTTCGACCAGGGGTACTGATATACATTTGGATGGAGGATTTTGATAATTGTTTTGATGTTTGGTGTCTTCACTTTCTGCACGTCGATGTTTTGCACATATGAAAATGAAAGGTTTTTTACGATTAGATCGATTTTATCCACCAAAATGTGGAATTTTATTCATTTTTTTTGTTTTTTTTTTTGTTTACAAATTTAATAGCAATCAGAATCTTATTATTCTATAAGCTATTGAGATTGATAACGGTTATATAAAAAAAGCTGTTGAATCTATCTTGAAAATAACAATACATCCTATAAAACAATTAAATAACGTATACTTAGATATTTTATTAAGATCAAGTTAACTAAACAACAGTGCTTAAAGTTGCGTTCGCAAATGTGGCTTATTTAGGAAACTTTTCAAAACAAGCACTTTTTTATTCAATTTGACAACTTTTTTTCAAACTGCTTTGAATATTTCTTAAATATTTTGGATAAAGGATTAAATTTACTTATCACGGAAAATAAATTATCTTAATTGAATTAAGTACAGTAAAATACAACACCAAAACGAAATTAAGTCTTGCATTACTATTAACATGTAAAAATTATTATGATATTGATACAGTTTGGTGTGGTTTAAGACTTGTTCAATAGATCTTGAGATTCTTCTGACAGTAAAAAATCCTTTTAAACATGACGTTTAATTGCAATTTTAGAAACCTAAATATTTAGTTCAATTCTTGGTTGGAAATTGTTTAATAATTCAAACAAAATTTTGACTTTCATATAAATTCGTTCAATATACTAAACTACTTTAAATATTATAGGGTAGAGCATGGCACAAAGTTCCAATTTGAATTTGAACAATTATTTTGTAAAAACCAGACCAATTTAATCACATATCAAACAAACAACAAACTGACTATACTTTGTAAAACTCCCAGATAATTAATCATTGTCGAAATGTATTTTTTCTGCTGATTTTCAATTTGTCACTTGGTTCTTTTTACCCCTTGGAAAGTGGCTAGAGGCAGACAAGTATTTTTATTTTAAAGGGATTTTGCAAATTAATAGCTACATTATTCAACCAATGCAAAATATAAATTTCATAGGTTCATTTTCTACAGAGATAACTCTGTATATAACCTTGATCTGGTGTTTTGGCGGAAATAATCATCAGCAGATTAAGAATAACTATTTATTTTACTTATTTCTTATAAAATAGATTTTTAGCTTAATTTACTTATCTACATTTTTTACTTTTTTACACCTTTGCCAGGGTAAAGTTTCTGTTGGTCCTTTTTACCCCACACACATGTAAGTTTTTATAAAGGTTATATAAAAAAGCTGTTGAATCTATCTTGAAAATAACAATACATCCTATAAAACAATTAAATAACGTATACTTAGATATTTTATTAAGATCAAGTTAACTAAACAACAGTGCTCACGACCAAACAAACTAGCAACAAAAAAAAAATACTTTTGTGATGGATTTTTGAAACATTGTTCTTTTTCTCCCTGATAGCAATGTCGTAAAGATCAAGGTGTTGTAGAGTTATACATATTTGCCCTCTACTTTCAAATACTGTTGTTAAAAAAAGTATTAACTTTACTTGTTTTTGAGATAACGCTAGTGGACCTGTTTACCCGCGGACCTTTAAGCCCCGCTCTACCCTATTATTAATTTATAAGCCATTTCAAAAATCTAAATAATCAGTTTAATTCTTGATTGGTAGTCGGGACGTGATTGTTTAATAATTTTAGCCAAAGTATGAACTTTTAAACAAATTGATTGTTTTTTTATCTACTTTTGCTTCAAATTGGTACGTTTAATAATTTGATAGAAAATGTACCTTTTCAGTCAAATTGATAGATCCAAAAAAAATTGAATATTAAAAATTGTGCAAATATAATCTTACATAGCTTCTAAAATTCTAAATTTTACAAAATTACTCCTCAGAACACAAAGCTAAAATTTTGAGTATTTTCATTATTTTGTTGTCTCATAATGAAAATATAAATAACAAATCACAGAAATTAGATTTCACAAAAAATTTTTAGTTTTCACCAAAAACATTGAAATTACTTTATTGATTACTTGAATATTAAAAATATATATGATATTCATTTACCATGTGACATTAAATCATTTCAATCAACATTTTTTGTTTTCATATGTGCAATACCGAATTTCCTAATTATTATTTCGCTTAAAATTATTTGCACTTTCAGCACGTCTTATATTTTTAAAATATATATCCTATTATCTTTATATTTATTATTTTTTAGATCACCTTATATTCAGCACATCTACAGGTGTAATCCCAAAGGCAGTTCTCACACTATACACAAATTCTTCAAATTCACAAATGCATGAATTTTACGGACATCTAATGAATGTGATTTATCATATGTTATTAATTTCTATCGACAGCTTGTGGAGAATTGTACACGAGGTCTAATAGAATCGTAGGAGGTCATTCAACAGGATTCGGGTCTCATCCTTGGCAGGCGGCTTTGATCAAATCAGGATTTTTGAGCAAAAAATTATCTTGCGGTGGTGCCTTAGTTAGTGATCGATGGGTTATAACTGCTGCACATTGCGTTGCCACGTGAGTAATTATATTTATTATAGATTTATAAGAATTTCTAAATAAATTTTACTATTATCTACGATAAATATCGGAAATGATTGAATGACATCTGTTCAGGTTCAATTGTTTTGTTTTATAATGTTGGCTATCAAAACAAAACTTGTTTGACAATTACGTTGTGATCTAGTATGCAAAATGAAAAATATCAAAACCAATAGCTTAGAGTTATATAAAGTCAATAACTAATGAATATATTATATTCTCATATTGTCTGGGGTGAATCACCTACAAAGAGCATTTATATTTTTATAAGTTTTAAATTGTATTTAAAGTGCTACAATATTCCTTGTAATTATGTTGAGAAATGTAATTTCTTTTTTTCAATATTTACACCTATTTCATTCTGAACGTCAGCAAATTTTAGGTCGTACTTAACCTAACAACGCCGCCCAAATTGACCATTTTAACTTAGACATTTTTAAACGTTAAAATGCCATTATCAAACTATATGACAATTCTTAAAATATACTAATAATATTTTCTCCACTCTTTGATTTTAGTTATTATTTCTATTTACCGAAAAAAAATTGTTATGTGGCTCAAATACCGCGGTCGGTCAAATTGACCGGTGAACAATAATGTTATTTGGGTTGTTGTTTCCGTCAAAAAATAGGTGCAAATTTTTATAATATATACCAAATAAACAACACAAATTTCGAATAAAATTTTAGATGGTGTGTGAAGTCGATAATAAACATATAACAAATAGGTTTCTCTATTGGGTAATGACAATAGGAGAGATTGTTCAATTCTTTAATTGGATAGTTTGTTGTTCTAAAACAGATAAATTTATTCATAGTTTTTGAACCAATTTGTATAAATCAAATTTCATCACTCTCATGGTGTATAAAAGCAAACTGAAAAAATGCTTATCCCAAGTTTCAAACATTATCCAATAAATCAGGAGAAAGCAGCAAAAGTGTACGAAAAACTAATAGATTTTGTTTTAGTACATTGCTTGATAAAAATTTGGCAGAATTGTGAGATTTTGGACTTAAATAGTAGCATATAATTTATTTTAAAATTATAAAAGAAATAGTAGCTGTAATTAAACGAATTTCTTTCATGGCAAATATTCTTTTTCTAATATGATGTCAAAAATTTGTACCGGTCTATCTATGTAAAAGACAAGGTCAATATAAAGTTGTGTTATAATGCTTGCCGAATAGTTGGGAGAAATAAAAGTTTGTTCATTTATTAAATAAATTCTTATAAAACGACTAGTAGTGCATGGCATCCGTATCAAAAACTAATGTTTTTTAAAAAAAACTTTAGATTTTTGAGAATTTTGAAAGTTTTTAAAAAATCTGACTTGTTGGAACAACTTCTTTTATTTAACATTTTTTTTGAAGGTTGGATCTGTTTTCCCAAAAATTTCACCAAATTTTTATATCGTCAATACAAATAAAATCCTCGAAATTGTCGACGAAAAATTGTATCCGCGCATACACACATACACACACACACCTACAAATATATTTACATACGGATTTTCAGAATAATGTGGCCTTAGTAAAACTCGATATAACTGTTATTTTTACATACACACATATATTTATTTTTTTCAAGGTATGCCAAAATGTTCAGAAACCTTTGAAACGTAAAGATATGTATAAATTTTCATTTTCAATTTTTTTGCGATTACTATAACTTACCCTACTAAAAGTTAATGGACAAAACGTAACCAATTTCTTACACTGTCCACACAAGCAATATGCTTTTTGAATCACTTTAATCGGATTAGAGTAGGATTCCATTTTATTAATGTTATAAAAGTTATATTGTTACATAGAAATATATATGAGTAACAAATTTATTTATTCTCTAGGACACCAAACTCGAACCTGAAGGTGCGTTTGGGCGAATGGGACGTCCGCGACCACGATGAGCGACTGAACCACGAGGAATACGCAATCGAACGCAAAGAAGTCCATCCTTCATATTCGCCAACCGATTTCCGGAATGATGTAGCCTTAGTGAAACTCGATAGAACTGTTATTTTCAAACAACATATTTTACCTGTCTGCTTACCTCATAAGCAAATGAAACTGGCTGGAAAAATGGCAACAGTCGCCGGATGGGGACGGACGAGGCACGGGCAGAGCACTGTGCCGGCTGTCTTACAAGTTAGTCGAAGAAAAATAAAAAAAAAAATTATATATCTAATTTAATTATATTTATTTTTTGATTATTCAGCAATTGCTTTATTTATAAAAAAATGGTAATATTTGCTCAGGGGGCGTCCATTAATCACGTGAGCAAATTCTAAGTAGTTTTGGACACCCTCTCTCTCTTGGTCATACGTGGTGATATTTAAAATTATCACCCCCACACATCACGTGTATTTTTAGTACCTAAAAACAATCCTTTTTTTTTTAAAAAAGTTTTAGTTTCTTTTTGAATTGAGGTAAAAAATAAATACACGTGATATCTTATTAGACCCATCTTTTTCCACGTGATATTTTGTGATTTTTTGTCAAACCACCCTTACTCCATATTATTAAGGTGCTTTTACTAGAATTGGTCTTGCTCCTTACCAGAGTTAACAATAATTCAGCAACCAGTTGAGTTAATCAGTATTTAAGAAGTAATAGGAATATTTTGATTTACAATAATTAAGATGAAGCAACTTTGTATATCAACCCTTTCCACTCGTAAAATGCGAGATTTATATAGGCCGCGGCGGAACATACAATATTAGCATATGCAAGATATTGGGATAATGTATCTACGTTTAATTTTGATAGTAGAAATTTGCATTATGGATGATGGATTTTTAAATATTTATATATTATTGTAAGACTCAGTATTTGGCATATTTTTTTTATTAGTTTTATACTAATAACATAGAAGCTTGCAATTACACACACTCACTCTTATATATGAAAAAAAAATTTAGATAATGAAAGATATATAAATAAACACAAAAATGAAAGTATTGTGGACACGTCACCAGATAAAAAAAAAAAAATCTTCAATATTTGTCTAATAGGATGGGCAGTAACTTCTATATTGGCAGTGATTTCTATATAATTTATACATTAATTCTAATTTAAATGCTTTTATTTACAAATTAATTTCAAATAATATTTTTCAATTTAAATGCTTTTTATACTTTAACATGATTTTTAAAGTATTTCATTTATTTATTGTGATTTTTCTGTTTCCAATGAATTTTTGTGTTTTATACACTGAAGAAGAGTCAAATTGTGATTCGAAACATATGAAAGCCTATTAAAAGTTATTAGAAATATATTTTTTTGCTATTATCTAGAATCTAGATAGATGTGCCTATCCAAAAATATTTTTTGTTTTAATTTTGTATCTATATATATATATACATATCCAGGGTGTCCCAGAACTCAACGTTACAAAAAATATATTTCACGTTGTGTGGAAATTACGAGCTTTTAAGTGCAACCTAAAGTTTTGGAAAAATTTTGACTTTTTTTTTTATTATTGTAATTGATTTTTCTTAATTTTTTTCATTTAAGGATCCGTGATTGTAAAAGATAGAAATGTCCTACAATACAAAAAATGATACAATTGCTAGGAATTGTGACTTTTTGTTGAACTATGAATTTGAAATTTTCAAAATTGGTAGACTTTGAGGGGTCCTTTTAAAAAAAAATGCACTAAGATGTGTTCGCGTTGTTGCATTATAGATGATTTTTTATCAGAATTTGGCTCATTTGATAAGGATTGTAAAATAGTAAAACAGGTAAAAGTTTTATAATAAAAAAAATCAAGTAAAGAAATAAAAGCCTAAAAATGACATGATTTTTCCCAATGCATTTCACTCATAATCAGTTCAGATGTTTGTTAAGATTTTAAATTTTCACTTAAAATTTGGTAGTTATAATAATTATAAATCAAAAAGTCTTAAGGCATATATGGCCACATTTCCATTTTACAAAATTTCAAATTTCTTCAAAAATGCATTGGCTCTATCTTTTCCAAATACATCATATCCTATATATTTTAAAATAAGTACAGTTTAAAGCTTTAAATGTAAAGCTTTTGAAATCGCTCCAATGGCAAGTGTCCAAAAGTTCATTGCAAGTCTATTTACCTCATTATCGTAAGTGAAAACATCTTAGAATAAACCATCTAACAATACCAACTCCATTACAAATATAAATCGCGTACGTGGGAATAAGTTATCTACGACATGATACGGGTACCTATAATAACTGGCATAACAAAGTAGATAAATAGCGTATAATTAAACAAGAATCGTTTAATGTTTCCAATAATTTCTAACGCGCCATCTTCTGTTTGTAGGAAGTCGATGTCGAGGTGATTCCGAATGAAAGATGCCAGAGGTGGTTCCGTGCTGCGGGTCGACGAGAAACCATTCACGATGTCTTTCTCTGCGCCGGATATAAAGAGGTACATATTATTTATCGGTAATAATCGGACAGGTGATTATGAGATTTTTCTGAAAGGATCGACTCGAGGTAATATTATTTTATTAAGTCTTACAGGAATTGAGCCAGTTGTCGTGTAGTGGTATACGAGGTGTTTTCAAAAACTGCTAGAAATTTTTAAATGTATCGGGTCTGAAGAGTCCGATTGCCAATTTTTTTTATTGTGTTGGTATACATGCCTAAAGTATGATGAAATTTTCAAATATAATCGTTTTTTACTTTGTCTATGATAGTTGCTAGGCTTCGAACTCCATAATCATCAAATATGACTTTGGTTTCCAAAGTTGAAACTTAATCCTGTTTCCAAAGTTGAAAAGACCATGAAAGGACGGCGTTTTTCTTCCATTGTTTAAACAAAACACAACCACAGACAAAGTATACAGTGAATATAGTTGAAAATTTCATCATATTTTAGGTGCATGTATACCAACACAATAAAAAATAAATTTTGACAATCGCACTCTTAAGACCGCATATATTTAAAAATCCCTACCTGAACACATCTTGTAAAATGTAGACTAGCAAATTTTTACTTTAGATTATAGATCTGGAAACATTGCTTTCCGAGACATTACTGCAACGTGCATATACTTATCACTATATGTATATGTATATCTATACATATATAACAATAATTCCAAATAAAAATAAGTTTAGTTAACCGCTAATTGCTCTATCAAGAAATGTATAATATATATATATATATATATATATATATATATATATATATATATATGTATATGTGTGTGTGTGTGTGTGAGCTGAGTCAAACTCCAACTCGATTCAGAAAAGAAATAGTGTGAGAGTTTTCCCATTTCCACTCTCACCACAGTGCCCGAGATGGGCTTATTCTCAATTGGAAACATATTTTCATCTATATTTTCAAGTGCAAATGAACATCGCAATTTGGCACACACTTTATTTTATACATTTACATTGATCTCTACCTCTACCTTTACCTGGTCCTTTACCTTTACTCTACCTCTGCCTCTATCTTTACTGTACCTCTATTTAAAAATTGAATTAAATATTCAAAAATTTCTCAATTTTCAAATATTGTTGTTAAAAATAAATAACTTTACTTGATAGTGAACCTTTTACTTTTACCTTTACTTTTACTCTAGCTCTACCTTTATACCTTTACTCTAGCTCTACATTTAACTTTACTCTGGCTCTACCTTTATATCTTTACTCTAGCTCTAGATTTACCTGTACTCCAGCTCTAGATTTACCTATACTCTAGCTCTACATTTACCTATACTCTAGCATTACATTTACCTTTGCTCTAGTCTCAATTTGAAAAAATACTAATAAATGATAATGTCAAGTTAATTCAAAGTGTAACGTTTTTTAAACACATTTACTTGACAACTATTCTTGCAAATTTATTTGATCATATATAAAAACTCAATTTAAAAAAATACTTATTGATAATGTTAATTCAAAGTTTTACGTTTTTTAAACACAGGGATCATACTTGAAATTTCGAAGATCCAGAAATTCTTGAAATTTTAATTTTATTTTTATCTTATAGAATCAATAACTTTATCTTCTCAAACAATATATAATTTCACACATTTTGATTTTATTACATCAATCATTCGCAGATAACTACTTTTAACAAATGATTATAGATGTCATAAATGAAATATAACAATTGAATATCTCAGTTCAAAAATTTGGTTTTTATTTGCTATTTGTGATTCAATAAATGTAGATGTCACTGAATCACAAATAGAATGTAGAATGTAGAATGTTAAATATTCCAAATCCTTATAAAAAATTTCGAACAGGAATTAATTTACTCAAACTACGAAATTAAAGTACGTTTGTATTCATTTTATATCAATTTTTCAAAAGTCAAAAAATAATTTTCGATTAGTTCTTTACATCGTGGAGTGATTTGATTGATTAGCTAGGCAACTGTAAAATAGTTCGATCACAATTGTCATTATTTATTCTATTATCTTTTTGCCTTCTTTATTATTCCACAAGACAAAACTTTAACGGTGTTTTATGAGAAATTGTAGAACTCATTGATTGAACAGACTGCAACTCATTTTCAATATGAAAAGTCAGGTATGTACGTGATTATCGAGAGAACTGTCTTTCATGTTAATAATTAATTTGAATGAGAAGAGAGATATATAAATGTATAATATAATGTTTTCAAATGATGTAAAATATATTTTTTTTACGTTTAGGGTGGTCGTGATTCATGCCAAGGTGATTCTGGAGGTCCTCTAACAATGCAGATTGAGGGTAGAAGGACCCTTGTGGGGCTAGTTTCTTGGGGCATCGGATGTGGTCGTGAGCATTTACCAGGCGTATATACCAATATACAAAAATTCATACCGTGGATTGACAAAGTAATGGGATAATTTTTATTCCATCGAGCTTACCCAAAGTATTCATTAAGTGCTAATCGAAAGTTCCAATAATAAATTAATTTAAAATTCTAAAGACGGGAATTTGAAAGACCAAAAAGACATACTTGTGATTGTGTAATTTTTATGATTAACTTTACATCATCTGTGCTTAATTATTAATTTGTATTATTCTTGCAAATATTTCAAGAGTTACCGAAAAGTTTGCTAATCGATAATGATATTTTAAGAAAAACAACTGCTGCTGATTCAGTCAATGTTAGAATAATTATTTTTATTAAATAATATTAAGTTCTGATTAGTAAATAAATAGCAAAATTATCTAAATATATATAACGCGTTGTTTGAGTTTATTTATTGCGTAGTGTAATATTTATTGCAGCAATTTGAATGCATGATTAAGTAATAACGTTTTAAGAAAATTCGTTTCTATTAAATTATATATTTGTTTCAGAATTTTAATTGTTTATGTATAGTTAGTATTTAAAATATTTTTATATAATTAATGTTATTTTATTATAATTAGCAAAGTACGTATCATGTAGAACCGTGGTTCAATTTTGGGTTATATATAAAATGTAAATACATTGTGGGATAATTTGGATTAAATATATTGTTAGAAACATTTTTGTGTATTATATCTCCGATATTTATATCAACTTATGAAATATGTTTCTCTTTAGTACAATAATTCAAACACAATGTAACAAATATAATAAATTTTATTTTAAATCCTATTTATAATTAAATAAATAAATAACAATGTTGGTAATATCAAAATTACATTCATAAATTTACACTTTTATACAAATAGTATTCAAATAAATAGATATAATTTAAAATTCAGCATTCGTTCATTTATAATCATTCACAGATTCATCAATCACATTAAAGTACTAGTGCATGATGATTTCACTTTTAAATAAATAAATAAATATTGCAGTCATTGCACACTGATCTAGTGTGATATTAAAGTTAATTCTGTTTGAAATATCGAACTTACAATTGTTAGACTCAATGGTTTGGAATTTTATACTTGACTCAAAAACATTAACAAAAAACTTAAATAAATTGCTTTTAGTTCAAGAAAAAACACATTATATCAAAAAGATAAGTGTGAACGACTTTGGTGTACATTTTAGAATTTCCTAATATCTATAAATGGCCTGATAATATTTTTATATTGATTACTAATCGAGTTCAGTAGAATATCAACTATTTATTTCGCTCGCAATGCAATAAATTCAGGCGAGGTAGAATTTCGGACTAAGGGCAAATGTGGCGCAACTAGAGACGCACATTTCACGAGAATTATCCGCGGGCGCCGATTTAAATATTCTCGTTTATTTAATATGCGTATTCTAATGTCATGTTTAGCACAAGTGTTCCAGTCAATTTCAATACAACTGATGCACTGCACAGTTCTATTCACAAAACCAGGATGCGACTGGCTTAGGTAAAGCTTGTGTCCTTGTACAGAAGACTAAATTTGGTTATTAGTGAACGCCGGTGACGCTCTGCAGCCAGGGCTTATAGTACGTCGTCCTCATATAAACACCAGGCAGATATGGCGCCGCACATTTGATACCATGAGACACAGTACCAGCAAGTTGCCACCTTCCATCTGGCCGCTGAAGAACCAGCGGCCCTCCACTATCACCTTCACAAGAATCCTTTTGCCCGTTCGCATAACCGGCACACAGGAACGACTCCAAGATTTTCTTCGAATGGCCAGCTGTATGGAACATCTCCTGGCAAACGCTGTTTTCGATCACTGGTACCTGGTAATGCGAATGAATACATTAGGATAACGACATTAAAAGCATTACATCCTTGTGATTTACAATGCATAATTTTAGTTTATAAATTGTATACTATACCTGTACTTCCTGAAGGACAGATGGCACACCACCTTGGTATTTCAGCCTACCCCATCCAGTTACTGTTGCCATCCTTCCCGTAAAATCAGCTCCATCAGGAGGCATACAGATAGGAACTACCATAAAACAAAGTGCATTAATATTCAAGCTAGCAAATACTACTATTATATTTGTATTATGTGCAAATTTAATTTTAGTTTATATTTATAGTGATATTTATTTTCACCTATATGACTATCGAAATGCACAGGACTTTCTAACTCTAAAAGGGCCAAATCATTTTCAAATGTTGCTGCATCATATTGTCGATGAACAATTACACGCTTAACGTTTTTAGTTACAGATCTCTTCGATTCCAAATCACCAGATATATCAAATTCGCCAAACACAGCAACAAGCGAAGCCAAGAATCTGAAATAAGAATTGGAATAATATAGAACTGCTATCATATACAGGTAAATTGATAGTACTAAGTCGGAAGTAATGCCGTAATCTAATCCATCGTTTTATTGACGATATTCATATCTCACCCGGGTTGACAATGCGCTGCTGTCATTACAAATTTATTTGTGATGAGCACTCCACCGCATTTATTTTTAGTAAACAATCCGAGCCACGTTGATTCTCGTACTAAAACTTGCCAAGGAAATTGTCCGAATTGTGCACCTTTTCCACCAACGATTCGAGCTGTTTTTATTAGTGGTCGAATGCCGCATTCTGGATCGACAAAAGTAATAATTATTATTTATTTTATCTTATTTCCGCGCGCATTTTTAACTTACGTTTATTATAATCTACACCTGCTGAACTCGATAAAGTTGTCGTTTCTTCCTCCGAAATTTCATCGAACTCGACAGTAGTCGTGGGCACAGTCACACGTTTAGTAGGTTTCGGATTTTTAGTAGTGGTAGTTAGCTTAAAGAATTTATTTGTTAATGTTAAGTACGTCTAACAATATGGTAATATTTCTTGAATAATATTTATATTAATTGTATATTTAATTTATATTTAATTTATATATTATTTAATATTATAGTCAGCGTCGTATTGGTTTTAAATAAAGATTCGCTTGAACGGTCTCGCTTTTCAGCCAATGCCCAATCACAGGCGTGCACTTACCCTCTGTGGTCTTTTCGTCGTAATTGTTGTATCTGCGGGTTTCACTTTCTGGGTGGTGGGCTTAGGCTTTCTCGTTGTAATCGGTTTTTTAGTTGTTGGGGTTGTGGTGGCACGTAGCGGCCGTTTTGTTGTCGTAACTGGCCTTTTAGTCGTTGTTGTGCGCCTGCTAGGGGCGACAGTCGTCGAAGGCCTTCTAGTCGGAGTACTTGGCCTTCGTGTGGGCGGTTTTCGGGTTGTAGTAGTCGTTGTAGGACGCCGCGTTGGCCTCGTTACCGGCGTATCTGCAGGCCTTTGAGGCCTTGCTGGCGTATTGGCAGCAAGTACTTGGCTTGCATTTTTATTGTTGTAAACAACATCTGTCAATCCTTGAAAATTTCCCTGCAACGACTCTACTATCTTATTAACAAATAAATCTATTTTATCATCTAATATACCATCTTCGATAAAGCTTGGTGTTGATATTTCAATATCATCATAATCTAAAAGTGTTCCATTCTTTTTATTATTATAATTTGCTAAATGCATTATAGACGTATTTAAATTAGGATTCCGTACTGGAGGAAAATTTATCAAATCATCTTGTGATGTTTGTTGATCATAATCATCTTTTGGTGGAACATATAGAGAACCATACCCTACTGTAGAACTAGGAGTCGTTGAACCAGGGCGCTTTGTGATCGACGGACTATACACATACGACGTCGATGGTGGTCTAGTACTCGTAGCCAAACCAAATGTAGACATAGGTAAGTGCGTTGTTGCGCCTAATGTAACTTTATTGATTATAGTAGGTCGATTTACACCAGGCCGATTCGACCAACTGCTAGCTGTTACAATATTAGTGGTAGGTTTTGGTGTAATAAGTATCGTTGGTGCAGGCCTCTCAGTAGCTCCATTATTAAGTACTTGAATTCCATGCGATGCAGACACATGATGACTGATAGTTATTGTGGGTGAATTATGCACAACACCACCTGCACTTGGTCTAAAATTAATAGTTTGTGTTGGCGTGTAATATTCAGTATTATCACCTGGATTTGATATTTTGTTAACATTACCATTACCGTTGGGCACATCTAAAATGATTACGGTTGGAGTAGGACTATAGTTATAATTACTTGGACTCTTAGTTGGCGAAATTGAATAGTGAGAATTGGAAGGGGGCCGCTTGGTAGGTGTAGCACTATATACGTAACTCGTCGATGGAGTTTTTATTGCATTTCCGTATGATTCGGTAGTTTTTGAATCAACTCCCAACTTATTAGGAATATATTTTGTCGGCGTGGGGCTATACACATAACTTGTTGATGGCGGTTTAGCACTTGTAATGTGCGATGATATACCTTGCCCATGCGTAATTTTATGATTAGGTTCATATCCCGGTCTTTTTGTTACTGTTGGGCTGTATACATAGGATATCGATGGTGGTGATTTTGTGGTCGATTGTCCATAATGTGATGGTTTAGTACTTGGATGTCTATGCCCCATGACATCAGTATGACCAGTATATTCCGGTTTGGAATCATTCAACATCATTATAATGGACTCGATGGATTCAATTTCCGGAGTTTTATTATTCTCCGGCCTTTGAGTTGCCGGCTTTTGATTACTCACTGTATGTACAAGTACATATTTATCATTGTCAGATGGCGGTCTTCGTGTTGGCTTCGGCCGGAACATGGGCCGTAAATATATTGGTTTTTGTGCTAGTTCTTCAGGTGATAAAGGCATTAACGTTGAATCAAATTTATCTTTATAGTAGCCTGTGCCCGTGCTTGCTGTTACCGATTCAGAACTGAAGTCACTCGGCCTAGCGACATCTGTTACTTTGGATCCATTCAAATGTACAAGAACCGTATCAGCATCATCATGAGTAATACTGCTATAATTATAATGTTCAGGAGATTCAGTTTCGTATATAGAGTTACTTAAAACACCGCTACCCGAAAAATCGTGATACTTTTCAGTATTAGAAAACACCGGTATTCTACTCGGTAACTCATCAGTATATTCGGATGAACCAGAATAATCAGGAGAGGGAGAGGGTTTGCGGGTGGAACTGTGCCCTCCGCTACTGCCACCGTATTTGTTGAAGTGATCGAGAGCAGATATGCCATTGCTGGAAGAACCGACACCAGCATGGGCAAACATATCGCTAAAATCGTGACTGTTTGATATGTCCATAACGACAGGTTCGGACGATACCAGGGTCGGCACCTCGACAGCGGGAAGTTGACAGCAGGCACCAAAAAGAAAGCCATCCATGCAGGCGCCCACCACCTCGCCGCCGCGCCTCGCACACTCGTGGTTGAACATGCATATCGTCGCTCCCCGTTC